CAATCTTATCAACTTAAAAGTTAGCCTGGGGGGATGAGGGCAGCGGGGGGTGGTGGATAGGGGGTAACGTGGGGATAAGGACACATATGTAATATCTTAATCAATAAAAAATATATTTAAAAGAAAAAGAAAATACACGTAGGCTCACAGTTTGTAATCTGATGTCAAATCAGACTTAGGTATGAAGGATATATTACTTTTCCATCACTGACATAACAAATTACCACAAATTTGATGGCTTAAAATGATACCCATTTATTATCTCTCTATTTCCATAGATCAGATGTTTTGCAGGCTCAGTTGAATCTCTGCTTAGAATCTCACAAGACTGAAATAAAGGTGTAGGGAGGACTGTGTTCCTTTCTAGAAGCTCCAGAGGAGACTGCATTTCCTTGATCATTCAGGAAGATGGAAGAATTCCATTCCTTGGATTTATAAGGCTGAGGTCCCATTTATATGTTGATTGTCAGCTGAGAGTCATTCCAAGTTTCTAGAGGTCACCCACATTCTCTGGCTTATGACCCTGTTCCATTTTCAAAACTAGCAATGACGAGTTGAGTTCTTTGGATGACTCATCTTTCTGATATTCTTTCTGTTTCTTCTGGCCCCTTCTTCTACTTTTAAGGATACATGTGATTACTTTTGGTCCACTTGGGTAATCCAGGGTAATGTCCCTATTTTAAGGCCTATGTTCTTAATGCTATCTTAAGTGCCTTTGCCATATGACATACACACAGGCATAACACCAGAAGGTGAAGTTCATGGTGTTGGGTGTCAAAACCCTGCTTCCCACAAAGGTTTACTCTTTCTCTGGATAAATGAGTCTTTTATCAAATATATAGTTTTTTATTGTTGACAATATTGCAGACATCCCCCTTCTCCCCCTCTCTCCCCCTCCACCAAGCCCCTACTCCTCTATCCCTTCACCACACTATTGTCTGTGTCCATGGGCAATGTATATGAATTATTTAGCTTATCTCTTCTTGACACCACCCCCTTCCCTCTGAGATATGTCAGTCGTTCCATGCCTCCATGCCTCTGGACCTATTTTGTTGATCTGTTTATTTTGCTCATTAGATTCTACAAATAAATGAGATCCTGCGATATTTGTCTTTTTCTGACTGACTTATTTCACTCACTATAGTATTATAATATACCCTGCTTCACTACCATGTAGCCTCAATATGATACCCCAATTTAAGTATGTTTCTCAAATGTCACCTCAGACTGGTGTTAGGTGATCTGGTCTCCAAGAAGAGGAAGGAGAGTGCTAGCTCCCAGACCCTTTTTATCTTGTATCAGGACCAGGTGCCTTCTGAAAGGAGCTCCTGCCTTTGGGTGACCCAGTGGCTTTCTGCTTCGAGTTACAGGAGGTTCGCTGCAGTTTGAGGCTGACGAGGCAGCAGAGGAGGAATCTCTCTTCCCTATGCCACCTAAACAAGAGACCAATCCTGAGTCTCCACTAAGTGAAAGCATCTTTGAGACCCAGCCACTTAACCCCATCCTGGATGATGACCGCAGCTCAACTCGTGGCTTCCCCACCCAGGAATCTTTTACCATGGCCTCCTGCGCCTCAGAAAGACACTCCCACTGGGTCCACACTCCCATCGAATGCACAGAGCTGGACCTGCAAAAGTTTTCCAGCTCTGTCTCCTATACTGGAGCTGAGACCTTGGCAAGGGGACACAGCTGAAAGCTCTGGAGAGAGGCTGGAACTCGATGTGCCTCTTGAAGTTCCCAGCCCTTAACTCTCTACTGAGGTGAGCTGAAAAGATGGGGAAGAAAGACCAGAAGTTTGGGACCACCCCAGAAGAATTATCCTCTTGAATACTATTGTTTAGTAGGGCTAGCAGTAGAGAAACAGCAAGCTAGGGTCACTGATGGATGTTAGAGCAACAGTGATAATACTAATCATTTGAGCAAATCAGATATCACATTTCTGGGCCTTCAAGGAACTGACTAGGTTGATGTGACACCTGTCCCTTTATTCTGGCCTGTTGCAAGGATTCTTCGGTCCCACTATCTAATAGTGATTCAGTGATCTCCCTCCATGTAAACAAGAACCATGACACAGTAGAAAAATATACAGGCCTGACATCTGGGAGCCCTATATTTCAAATCTACCTACATCCATTAATAGCTATGTGAACCTGTATAAATCTCTTTACCTCTCTGAGATGCAGGTCCTTAATCTGTAAAATTTATATCAGTCACCTCATATCTCTGTGAGTGTTGAATGAGAAATGCATGTGCAAGTGCCTTTTATAGTATTTGATGCATTAGAGATGTTTAAACTATGTTAGTTTTTCTTTCCTTTCCCAACTCCCAGCCACAATCTACACATTCATATCCACTAAACTCATATTTAAAACATTCCTTTATTGTAAGCAGGTTGGGGTTTGTTAGCCTTATTTTATAGAAGCAGGGACTCAGACACAGAAAGGGAAAATGATTTGCTCAAAATCAATCATAGAGCAAATCTGTTGCAGAACTAAACTCAAGCCCTGTTTTGGGGCTACAATACAGAGCTTTTCCAACTCTATCAATGCAACTATTCCATAGACAATGTTACTTTCTTAAAGGCTTAAGGAGCATGAGGCAGTGTGAGGCAGGATGGTGGGTATATTCCTACTTTTCAACTAACCAGCTACCTTTCACTACCCATTTCACATTTCTCCACCTAAGATATTGTCCAGGTCCTTCAATTACATGCTCCTCCCTACATCCTACCTGAGAAAATGTGAACGATATGTGGATGAATGCCAAAACTACTATCAAAACAGTCAAGTCCAACCTATCCTTCAAGTCCTCCAATCCATGCATGAGTCCCTTTTATAATATTCCACCAAGTTTCTTTGTCATCCTTACTCTCATATTTGCAGTGTCAGTAAGAGTACCACTCACTGCTCAATGTGTATTGCAACTCTGATTGGTGGATTTGAACTCAACAGGAAGAAAAACTTTCTGTCTCCTGTAGTAACTGCCATTGGGTCCTGGTTCTGTTCCTTGGACTGCACAGAACTCATTTGCTTTCTCTGCCTTGTGATAACCCTGATAAAGTCTAGAGATAGCATCTCCTCTCTGGAAAGTACCACTTTGGGTTCCTCTAAAGTATGTGCAACTTAGAGCTGAACCCAGTTTCAAAAAGAATGGTCTCACCAGTGTAGAATAGACTATCATCTCCCAGCTAGGTGATGTATTTCTGTTATTAAAGCCTAAACTATTGGCCTAAACCATGCTAGATAGTTTTTATTTGGGGAGGAAGCTAGCAAGATTGCACCCACAGTTTTCTAACTTGCTCTGCTCCTTCCCTAGGTCTCTTGGGCTCCTGGCAGCCTTGCCCAGTCATTCTCCCTGGACGCTCCTGCCTTATTTCTATACCACAGCAGCAGGGCCTGGAATGTGGTGTCCTCAACAGCTACTACTCTACAGATGGGGTATATCTTATCCCCTCCTACCACAGAGTTGATTCTTCACCATTTTCCCAAGACTGATCTACAGCATGTCTTGCTTAACTATTCTAGCTAGACTGGAGAGCTGGATTCCACAGACATGGGCCTGCCAAACATGTCCCTAGCTCAGCTTGATTATAGAGAAGAGGGAAGGTGTTGAGAATTAATGGTGTAGAGTTTTACTGAGTATATCTTTGATCAGGTGGACCTGAAGGAATGGCCTCTCGGTACTCTATTGATACATCTACCTAGCACTTTATGGACAAAAATCAAACCCTTCCCCTTTTAGATCCTCTGCACTGACCCTCTCCCTAACACACACACACACACACACACACACACACACACACACACACACACACACACACACACACACACACCTACATGTATCTTGGGAGAGGCCTGGCATTTTGATTCCCCATTCATCTTCTAGATTTCTGTTACTGTGACAGCTTTGGAGTTAGCCCATTTGCCAGAGTCTTCCATCCCATATATAGATATCTACTCTTCTTTAGTGGGGAGTTAACTCAACTAAGTGTCTTTTTGATCTTTAAAATAGTAGTTCCTTTTATTTTTACTTATCTTCAACTCTTGCCTCTTTTGTTCCTTCCTGGTGACTGGTCTTTTAAAGGTTAAGGTTGAGTTTCTTGATTCCCTGGGCCAAATTCATAGCTCAGAGCTTTAATTTGGGGGGTTAAAGTGAAGTTCCTGAGATCTAGGGGGGACACTGAGCACTGAGAACCTAAGCCTCTCGATGAGGCCTGATCGTAGGGTGCCCTGGCTGATGTGGTCAAGTGGTTGGAGTGTCAGCCTGCACACCAAATGGTCATAGGTTCAATTCCAAGTTAAGGGCACATATCTGGGTTTCAGGTTCAATCCCTGGCTCCACTTGAGGCATGTGTGGGAGGCAACCAATAGATGTCTCTCACATAGATATTTCTCTCTCCCCCCGCCCCCTCTCCCTTCTATTTTCTCTAGAAAGCAATGCAAAAAAATATCCTCAAGTGAGGAATTTTTTAAAAAGACCATTAATGTTTTCTTGGTTTAGAGAAAAACAATCAATTTCAAATCCCTCATCACCAGTTTTACATGCTTCTAAGAATAATGGAACTCTTTTCCCATGACTTATTTCATAGAGAACTTCAGGGCTCAGATGCAGGCACCATGGATTGTTTTTTTAAGTCAACCTTATGTCCATAATGGGTTATTGGACTGCTGACCACTCCCTCACAGTGGATCATATTTGGAAGGAAAATGTGTTCAATTGAATGAAGCAACCATCTCCGTTGTTTGGGAGCAGCCTATATAGTCCAGAATGCTGGATGTGACTTAATTTGTAAGAAAACATCACTGGAGAGAGGGGATTGTTATCCTGGGATGGGAAGACTGCAATTTACTACATGTATATGGATGCTGCACTTTACAGTTTGCAATGTACCTTCACAACCATCATCTCATTAGATCTTTACACTAACAATAAGGTGGGCAAGGCAAGGGTTACAATTCCCAGTTTACAGGTGAAAGATGAAAAATGACTGGCCTTAACTACTTAGTGATGTAGGGTTAAATAGCAAAGCTAGGAGGATCTCTGATACCTTGAAACCTTCATTTTTCTGGAAGACAGTTTTTTGGAGTAGGAGTATTTTGGTTTTCTGGCATATCTGTTCCAGAAAACAACTCTCTTTGGAAAGAAGAGATGGTGGAGACAAATAAGGTTGTTATGCCTAAATGTGAAGCAGCGGTTCTCAACCTGTGGGTCACAAACAATGAAAATACATCCTGCATATCAGCTATTTACATTACGATTCATAACAGTAGCAAAATTACAGTTATGAAGTAGCAACGAAAATAATTTTATGGTTGGGGGTCACCACAACATGAGGAATTGTATTAAAGGGTCGCAGCATTAGGAAGGTTGAGAACCACTGGAATAAAGTAATGTCTTTTCCCATCATACCAAGCCTATCCTTACCCTTTCCCACAAGCTCTCCCACACATCTTGCAATCAACCTGGATGTACATTCTCTGCTAGATCTGACCCCAGTGGGAAGCTAAGAGACTTTCTGTTCAGCGCTGACTCACAAGAGGTCAAAAAGAAGGGCTGCAAGGTTAGATAATACTCTTTCTACTTGTCTATCTCTCTTCTTTGCCCCTGGGGTGTGAAAAGAAAAGATAAAGGTTGGAGCCAGTAGGAGCATTCATCCAACTTGACTCCTACCCTCCTACATTCCTCAATTCAATTTAAGAGTCTCCGATCTTGGTTTGAAGAAGACTTGAGACTTTAACTTCATTTGTAAGTACATAGGGGGGAATTATCCATTCTCTAAAAGTGTCTCCCAGTTGTTATTTAAGCAAATCTGTCAATTATAATACTTGAGTGCTTTACAGTCTGTAAAACTTTATTCAGCCCTGACCGGTTTGGCTCAGTGGATAGAGCGTTGGCCTGCGGACTGAAAGGTCTAAGTTCAATTCCAGTCAAGGGCATGTACCTTGGTTGCAGGCACATCCCCAGTATGGGGTGTGCAGGAGGCAGCTGATCGATGTTTCTCTTTCATTGATGTTTCTCACTCTCTATCCCTCTCCCTTCCTCTCTGTAAAAAAATCAATAAAATATATTTTTAAAAAAGTTTATTCATACATTTTGCCTATTTTAAAGAACAGGAAACTGAGGTCCAGATATGAATAGTAACTTATGCAAAGCAGTTCATATTTGGGAGAGGCAGCTTGCCCCACATACCCACCCCTAGAGCAAAGTATGGATTCCATAGCTGATAGTAGAGACTAGGAAGGAAGAGTAGAGAACACACTGCTCTTGGTATGGCATAGGGGATAGGCAGGGGTGTTGGAGGGCACTGGTTATTTTTCTTTACTGCCTAAATAACTCTCAAAACATCACTGAGGAGCACACAAAAATAGGAAAGAGGCTTAAGATATTGATTAGATAGTTAATCCCCACTAGCAGGAAAAGCAGCTGACCCATAGTTAAGTGTTGATGAGGAAGTCTTCCATTGAAAGATAGCACATCATGTCACCTGTGGGATGGAAAGGACTTTGCTTTCTTTGTTTTTTTGTTTTGTTTTGGTTTGGTTTCTGTTTTGTTTTGTTTTGTTTTGTTTTTGCTTTTTCTCTCCCTATATCTCTTACCTTGTATGACCTATAAGGTTTCCTCTGCCTTCTTTCAGGTCCCTCTAGAGTCTAGACACACTGTATTCCCTGGGTCAGCTAGAAGGTCTTAAAGAGCAATGGTCCTGAATTGCAGCATAGGGCAGGGCAATCAACTTCCTTGTGGATCTCCT